TTTAAGTTTTGATATTCAAAAATCAAATATTTTATAAATAGGTACAGATTTTTAAATATTAATAATAATATTATAAAAAATAATTATATACAACCACCCTAAATTATCAACCCTAATAAATCACCCCATTTTATTCTTACCCGACTTCTCTCCCAGATCCAGCCGCTACCGCTGGCGAATTCTACTCACCCCCGTTTCTTTCATCCCCGTCCCTCTCAACTGATGTCTCCGCCTCCACCTCGCTTCGCTCGCTGCAGCAGCCCAATCGCAACCCTCCGCAACCTCATTTCCCCTCCATCTATCCCCTCCCTCATCTCTCTGTGAACCGTCGCGACGAGGAGTCGCCCATCCCGTTGCTGTGAGACCGCCTCTTGTTGAACGGCATACCTACCTTCTTCCCCCTCCACTTGCTTCTTGGACCCAATTGCGTCGTTGATTTACTGAAAGTAACAGATGGGCGTGGTTTTATACCTACAAGGTTCATGTTAGGTTTAGGGTTCTGGAATTGTGGTTGTGGCAACGGTGGGGCCCAATTCCTGTAGCTCTGATTCATCGCTATCTACGGATAAGAGTGAGAATTCATCATCATGATAAGCGATTTCGAAATCATTAGATGTGAAAAGTCTTATTCTTGATATGTTTTGAAAATTACCTATTGCTGCGGTTGTGTTTTCATTTGGCTTATGCAGTCATTTGATTCTGATTCATGGCAATGGCCATTATTTTGTTGATGCTGATGCAGTTGTGGTTGTGGATCTAATAATTTTTGTGGTGGCGGCGGTGGCAATATTGTTGGTGCGGGAGATTGTCGTGGTTTTTGGTTTGCCGTCGATTGGTGAGGTTGTTTTGGTGACGATAGTGATCATTCGAAAATAACCCGTGACTATGAACAAAATCCCAAGTTGTGACCTGGGCTGTGACTTGTGACCTGAGTTGTGACTTGGACTGTGACTTGTGACCTGAGCTGTGACCTGGGCTGTGACTTGTGAATTGGACTGTGACCTAAGTTGTGACTTGTGACTTGAGTCGTCGGAATCGAAGCAGTCACCGAAAACGGTCATCAGAATCTGAACAGTAGCTGGAACAGTTGCCAGAATCGGAACGATCGTC